ATCATCCACTGAGAACCCTGTGGGCACAGTTCTCTTCTGACACACACGGGGCACCATGAGTGGAATCTACTTATGAAAAATCATCCACTGAGAACCCTGTGGGCACAGTTCTCCTCTGACACACACGGTGGTGCTGTGAGTTGGAAATAATTCCATGACTACTGTTTTTTTCGTACGTACCTGGGCACAGCTAACCCTCACTCCAATCAATCTGTTGGGCGAGGGGCTGTGAGAAATGAGGACCAGGGAGTGTCCCGTTGTAAACAAGGTCACTGTGTTTGCTGGAAAGGAGTCTTGGTGGTGCCGTGGGTGAAGTGTTGAGCTACTCACTGAAAGGTCAGTGGTTCAAACTCACCTCCACCTCCACACAAGAAATATGAGGCTATCTGCTTTCATAAAGACTGAGTGTCAGAAACCCTATGGGGCCACTCTGTTGAGCCCTCTGGGGTTGCGATGAGTCTGAATGGGTTCCAGGGCAGTGGGCTGATTTGGGTTTGGTGTTACCTTGCTCCTGAGGGACCATCCCCCTGACACCTGGCAGCGCATCTCACCTGTCGTGGGCTGTACAGCTCTTTCCACATGTTGACGAGTTTACAGAACATACTGTAGGGCCCCATCTTGGCTATCTTCCGGAGCCTTCCATAAACAGAGAGCTCCACATAGGTCATTCCCATGTCTTCCTGTGGGGAGAAACACGTGCCAGAGAGATGGTCAGCCGGGGCCCGGACCCAGTGGAACTGTGCTCCCTGAGAGCTGGAATGGCCACTGAGGAGCATGTTTTACATTCTGAAGAGAACCTGAAACACTTACTGATGAAGACCAAAGACCACAGTCTTTGTTATGAGTTGTACCTCAAAGTGAAGATAACAAAAATCCTCACCACCCGATCAATAAAGAACATCACGATAAAATGGAGAAAAGACTGAAGTTGTCAAAGATTTCATTTTGCTTGGATCAACTATCAACACTCATGGAAGCAGCCGCCAAGAAATCAAGTGACGTATTGCATTAGGCAAATCTGCAGCACAAGACCGCGCTCAAGTGCTCAAGGGCAAAGATGTCCGTTTGAGGCGCACCTGGCCCAAGGCCTGGTATTTCCAATCTCCTCAGGTGCATGTGAAAGCCCGACAATGAATAAGGAAGACCAGGGAAAGTATTGATGCATCTGAGTTCTGGTGTTGGAGAAGAATACTGAAAGTCCCACGGATTCTCTGGAAGAGGTACAGCCAGAACGCTCCGTTGTAGAAGTGAGGATGGGGAAACTTCATCTCACATACTTTGGACACGCGGTTAGGAGGAACCAGTCCCTGGAGAAGGACATCATGTTTAGTAAGGTGGAGGGTCAGCCAAAATGGGGACGACTCCCCCCGCGAGATGGATTGCTCCAGTGGCAGCATCAGTGGACCTACACGTAGCAGTTAATGATTGTGAGGAGGACGCAGGACCAGGCAGTGTTTCATTCTGTTGTATGTAGGGTCAGTATGAGTCAGAACTAACCCAGCTGCATCTAACAACAACAAATACAATCTTTACGGGAGCAGATCACCCGGTGTTTTCTCTCACAGAGCTGCTGGTGGATTCGAACCATCAACCTTCTCAGTAAGCAGCCAAAGGCTTAAGTACTGTGCTACCTGGGCTCCTGCTATTTTGAATATAGACCCACCCCCCCGCCCCCCAGACTCCTCAATTAAGTATCAGCAAATCAAATCCAGGAGTATGTACACAGGATTATGTACTCTGACCGGGTGAATTCATCCCTAGAGTACAAGACCGGGGTAATGTCTCAAAACTGCACAAACAGCATTTGACAAAATCCACCCTCTTTCACAGTGAACTGGAGACAGAAGTGAACCTCATTACTGTGGTACTGCAGGATAAGCACTGGACTATAAGGTTGGTTTGTGCCGCAAGCTTGGTAGTTCAAACCCACCAGCCACTCCTCAGAACCGACTCTATGGCACTTAACAACAACAATGTGTTATACCTAAAGGTAAATGGTCAGGACTAAGTTTAAAGATGCCCACACTGGGCACCAGGTTGGAGTAGGCTCCTGGGAGGGACCCGGCTCAGGACACAGGGGCAGCTGGAGGGGAGATACTGTGGCTGGCCCTGCCGTACCTCGTCTGTCTGGAACACCTGTCCGTCAGCCAAGGGTTCCAACTCTGCGGTGGCCGGGGCATCGAGGATGCTGGGATAGAGGGGCACAGGTAAGCCATAGAGCCACTAAGGTAAGAAAAGGGGGAGAGGCCTCATCACGGAGCTCCAAAGGGTAACAGGAGGCCTTGGAGGGCATCTGAGCAGGAGCGCGTGTCCCCACATGCTCACCTACACAGGGCGGGCAGCTGGAAGCGCTCCACACACAACTGCACGAAAGCTCGCAGGTCCATCTTGCTGATGCCACCAATTGGATTGATGTCTGCACTGGAACAGTCATACTTGGTCAGGTAGCCCAGGAGGCTGAGTGAGAGACACAGAACCCGGGTTGTTCATCCCGAAGTGCACTCAGGGTTTACTGGAAGCAGGTGTGGCTGGGCAGGGTGCATGTGTGGGGACCCTGCCCAGGTGAGCACATCAGGGAGGCTGTGGGCTGGGACATGTGGGAATCAGTGCCTGGTGGGGACAGCCTGTCTGCAGATGTGAAGAGATGTTAAGGTGGACAAGGCAAGGCCACAGCCAGGAAGCTGCTTGGTCCGGACAGTGAAGGCCACCTCACCACAGCCACTGCCTCTAACTCTGTGTGGTGAGCACAGAGATGTCCTCTTCCTAGTCCCCAGAACTTGTAACATGACAAAACAGAGACAAGGGTGGCTCAGTGGGAGACATGGGTTCAAGTACCAGCTAAGACACTTCACAGGCAGCTACTACCCATCTGTCTGTGGAGGCTGGTATGTGTGGCCGGGATGCCGAACAGGTTTCAGCAGAACTTTCAGACTCTGATAGATGAGGAAGAAAGGCCTGGTGATCAACTTCCAAAAGTCAGCCCTGCACACAGCTGACTGAATCCCAGAGAGGCCCGAGTGGGACCGCTGACCTCCAGAACTGTGAGGTAACATGTATGTTCCCGGAGCCTCAGAAGACTTATATACCTCTCTAGTGCGCCCAACTGTCCCCATCCCACTGCACCAGCGATCCTGGTCCAGCCTGCCACATCTTCCCACTGGACCACAGGTGCCCCGCTGACTCCAAGGCCATTTCTTCCTTTCCTTTCTATCATTCTTTTTTTCTTTTAACTTTTTATTGTGAATGGGGTGGAAGTCTACAAATCAAATTTCTCCATCAATAGCAGATGTATATTTCGTTTCCTCTCGTAAGACTACAATTCCCACAATGCAATATCTCTCTTCCCACTTCCTCCCTGGGATTCCCTCCTTTCTCTCCTACCCCTTGTCAACTTTACCTTTCAGATAAATGATTCTAAAGGTTGTACACCTCCCGGGTGTTATTGTCCCCCTAATAGACCTTCTATGGCTTGTCTGAAATTTGAGCCACAGGGTGAGTGAAGGGGGGTTTGGGACCACAGTCTCAGGGACTCTACTGATCTCTGTTGTTGTTGTTATATGCCGTCGAGTGGGTTCTGACCCATAGTGACCCTGAACAGGGTTTCCGAGGCTGTAATCTTTATGGGAGCAGAAAGCCTCATCTTTCTCCCGCAGATCAGCTGGTAGTTTCAAACTGCTGACCTTGAGGTTCGCAGCCCGATTCGTAACCACTGTGGTCATTTTGTTTTGTTTTAATGATTTTGAGTTTTGTGCCACATTTTCTTTCTACTCTATCCAACACCCAGGGTGATTCTTGACCATGCCACCCCTGCTGTAAATTCCTCAGTTCATCCTTGACTTGACGAGGCTTCCGTGAACGGGTCCCTTCCTGCCTCCCTGCTCACACCACACACCTGTCTGCCTCATAACACTTGGGGTCATTTGTCTAATACAACATGCTTCCATCCCCCACCTGAAACTCTGGGCTAGGAAGCCCCTAGTCTATCATCCCTGACCCCACACTGCTCCAAGAGAAAGACCCTTTAATCCATCCCCACTCCTACTGAGAGGCAAACTGGGCCTCAGTTTTACCCATCGGTTTGAGGAGCTGATGTATGGTCTTCCTGGCCCCTCACACCCTGGCCGCATGCTGGTCTGGAAGAAATAATGCTGCCTGGGGCCGGTGCAAATGGTTTGCGCTTGGCTGCTAACCTAATGGTTGACAGGTGGAATCCACCCAGCAGCATCAGGAAGAAAGATCTGGAAATCTACTTCTGTAAGATTGCCACCAAGGAAACACGACAGAACAGTTCTCCCTGGTAACACATGCGGTCTCCGTCAGTTGGAATTCTTTGGTTTGGTTCTACCTTTGCCGAGTGAATGGGGGTGTCGCGATCTCCTGCCACGTGTCACAGAGACCATTCAAGGCCTGGAACGCATGTCCCCACCCCCAAGCTATACACACCTCTCATCCACGTTGGCAGATCCAAGCACCAGGAGACTCCCGGGGAAGCCCCGGGACCAGAGGCTCAGCTGGGCAAACAGGTAGGCAAGCACCATTCTGATTCGAGCCTGGACAACATGGAGGACGTTGTTGCCAGCATACTGGGCTTCAGGGGCAAGGCTCACAGCGCTACCCAACAACCTCTGGGGCGTGGGGGTGAAGATGACTCTGGGGAGAAACCAGAGTCAGGGTCTTGACGCTCAGCAGGACCCTGGGGTGGAACGAGGGCCAGCCCACTGTTTCTGGACGGAAGAAGGGAAGGCCAGCCACATAGGAAATATGGGGTACAGGTGTGTGTGTGAGTGTGGGACGGGTGCCTCCTCCCCTGCCTCCACCAGCCAGACCCCAGTTGTAACAATGAGGGCAGCTGTGCCCCACACCTACAGCCAAAACACATCCGTTTTTACCCACATGCACACTCAATGTACGCGCGCACACATTGACGTGCTCATGCACATCCCCCCACTCACACACACACACACACACACACACACACACACACACACGTGTGTGCTCATGCACATTCCCCACTCACATGTTCATGCACACACTTACACACGTGTGTGCTCACGCACATTTACACACATACTCATGCACGCACACACGTGTTCACGCAATTCCCCCCACTCACACACTCATGCGCACACACACACAGGTGTCCATACATTCCCACACACTCACACATTTACACACGCGTACTCACACACATTCCCCTCCTCACATGCATGCATACACGTGTGCTCACATTCCCACAATCACATGCTCACACACACATGTGCTCATGCACATTCACACACACACTCACCCATGTACACACAAACACACACACTCACCCATGTACAGACACGTGTGTACTCACGCACATCCCCACACTCACACTTATGCACTCATACACTTACACACACGTGTGCTCACACACTTTTCCACACTTACACACGTGTTCATACACATTCCCATACACTCACACTCATACACACGCTCACACACATCCCCCCACTCACACGCTCATGCACACACATTTACACACACGTGTGCTCACACACATTCCCCCCCCACTCACACGCTCATACACACACACACACTAGCTGTGTCCTGAGCTGCACGACCCACACAGCCCAGCTCCCCCAGGTGACAGGCTGGGCCAGCAGATGCACCTGTACGTTTTGCAGAGCCAGGTTCTCCCTGCTGCTGCCTCCGTGCACCGCAAACTGAGGGCGCTGCCCCGTCAGCAGGCTGAAGATGCCCACGATGGCCTTCACAGCCGGCTCTATGCTGAGGCCCATGTGGTGGCTGGGAGAGATACGAGAAGTCCAGATACACGATGCTAACAGGGACACAGACCCTCTCATGATCTCACCTCCCACGCCCAGCGGGCCGCCCCTCTTACCTCCCAATCTGCTGGGCCAGCTCCCTGGCCCTCTCACACGTCTCCTGGGAGGAATTCTCACTGGCCATGTAGCAGGTGGTCAGCAGCCGTCCACAGAGGTCTCGGGGGTCCTGGGGGCTGTAGTTGACGTCGTTCAGGATGGTCCGGACGTCAGCCAGAACTTGCTGATCTGAAAACCACCAGGCAATCACAGCTTCACCCCACTCCATCAACCCCACTGACTGGACCGACCACTCTCCCCAGTGAGGACTTCCTGGTGCTAGCTGATTGCTCCCATGGAACAGCCCCCAAGGAACAAAATGCGGCCTGGGGCCCAGGACTGGGCGTCTGGTCTGCCCAGGGACCCCTCCCACGGCCCAGGACTGGTGTCTACTGTTTCCACAGATGCTTCCTGGACCCAGGGGTCCCACCTACTTCCACTCCGGACAGCCTCGCAGACCTGGCAGCACATGGAGAAGACGATGCAGGCGCTAGCCGCGCTGTCCAGCCCACCGCTCAGGGGCAGGAAGAATCCCCCCTGCCACAGCAAAACACAGCACAGCGTGAGCCGAGCCCTGGGGTAGCTCCACGTTCACTTCACACTCACATGTGCCCAGATCCCCACAAAAACACACATGACGTCAGTTTCCTAAAGATACCCCTCACAATCCCGACTGGATTTTCTAGAGGAAAAAGAAGAGGGGGCCTTTAGAGAGAGGAGCCCCCGCCAACCCCCCACCCAGTGCCTTGCTGACGCACGTGGTCACCACATGCTGGGGGCTGGCATGTCGTCTGTGAGTAGCAACCAGAGCCCGGCTCACACCTAGGTGCACCCCATAGGCCGCTGGCTAGCGGAGCTTAAACTCCCCACGGGAGCAGACAGAAGCAACATCACTCATCTGTCAGTCTGTCACACAAGGGTGGCTTGCCTGTTGTTATGATACTGGAACTAAAATACCAGTAGGGTCATGCGTGGTGGGCAGGGTTCAGGGGAGCTTCCAGACTAAGACAGACTAGGAAGAAGGATGGGCGGACTACGTCGGAATGTTTACTCACTAAAAACCTTATGACTAGTAACGGAACACTGTCGGATAGCACCCGATTATTGACTATTGAAACATGATGAAGAACACCAGAATATTGTCAGATGTAGTGCAGGGAGATGAGCTCCTCAAGTTGGAAGGCACTCAAAATACACCTGGGGAAGAGATGCCTCCTCAAAGTGAAAAAAAAACAAACAAACATCGCTGGCCTGGGGCATGATGGATAATCCCAGTCAGCAGGAGAACAAACTGCACAGTGAAACTCAAAGTCTTTAAAAAACAAAACAAGCCCAGATAAATCGAACCATCTGAGGCCAGAAGGTGCCTGGAGGGTCTCGCCCTGAGACACTCTGTGGATCTAGAACCCAAACTATCCAGAGGTCACCTCGGAACGCTACAGCAGGGTCATTACCTGCCACATGGCTGCCCTACCCAAAAAGCACCTATATGGGTCCACAAGGTCAGCATTTAATCCAAAACAAAGACAGGCCGGTCAAGGGCACAGACAAGGAGAATCCTGGCAACAGAACCACCCAAACGCAAAGCCAGAGACTACAGACCACCGTAGACCTGGGGTTGGTGTGGGCCTTGTCAAAGGGGAATCTAACTTGCTATGTGTAAACTTGCACCCAAACACAATAAACTATTACATAAGAAACAAGTAAGTAAGGGACGGGCTACTTGGACATTGGCTACCTAAAATAAGGGGGCGATAAAGGCACGAAGTGACTGGCTTACAAGGTTTCAAGAGGGAGCTTAGTTTAAGAGTGTGTGTGGGAAGGTAGAGTTCCCACTAAATAGCTTTCATCTTGTCTGGACAGGTCTGGTGAAAGGTGATGGGGATAAGATTCTTATGATTCAATAGTGAGTAATTATTACCATGACTAATTGCAACTGTCACAACTGTAAAGGCAAAAGTTTTGTAACAAAAAACGGGGGAGTAATTAATCTTACAGTGCAAGAACAGAGGACCCTAGGGCCATCAAGGAAGAAGAGCATGAGCAGAATGTGAGACCCTATCCAGAGAAGCAGTGACACCAGAGATGGAGACAGAGATGAGGACATGGAGAGAGGGAGCAGCTGAGGACTCTGGACTCATGGAAAGAGAAAGGCTGTGACTTGGCGGCCAGGAGGCAGGCTTACAGAATGTGCCCTTGGGTTGTTTAAATGATTATATATTCCTGAGTGTTTTTGCATACATCCAAACAAACAAAAAAGAGGGAATAGAAGCAAATACTGTTGAATGATGATGCACGGAGGAGATTGTAATCATTGCAATGAAATGATGAGTGTAAAATTGATGTTCTCCCATGTAAACTATCACTCAATTCATACTAACAACTCAAAAAAAAAAAGAGAGAGAGAGAGACAAGTAAGTAAATTAATCATCAGCCTGCAGATACCGGAACACAAACCAGCATCATGAACGAAGCGATTATCATAAACTAATCAATGTCGAATACTCACCTGTTGGCTACGTCTCAAGAAATCCCAGAGCCAGCACGCGGGTCCAAGGCTGGGGGGAGGGGGAGTGGATCAGAACATTTGATTTGGAGACTCCTGACAGGGCACCACCCACTGTGGCCCTGGGGGCTCTCATACAGCTGAACCCAAACATTCAGGCCCCAGTATTGCTTGTCTCAACACTAACAAGGCACGACCCCACTTAACCACGTATCTATTGGATCCCTCTTCCTCCCAATAAAACCAAATCCACTGCCGTCAGGTTGACTGGCTCAGAGACCTTACAGAACAGAGAACAACTGCTTCTGGAGGTTTCTAAAGACTGCAAATCCTTACAGAAGTAGACGGCCTCATCTCTCTCCCACACAGCAGCCGGGGGGTTTGAACCACCAATCTTGCAGTCAGAAGTCCAATGCTAACTGAGCAGCCCCCACCATAAGGCCAGTCCTAGGCTGGGCGAAAGGGCCCGGCCCACCTTATCTCCTCGGCAGGGCTGTGGTACGTCCACTCGATGGGTTCCGAGAGCGGCAGCAGCAGGTCATTGTGGTGGGAGAGGGCAAAGTCCACCTTCACTCGGGGGTAGGGGTCCACCCGGCTGGCCTGAGATGGAGATGCCATACCCTAGATCATTCTCATTACCAAGACTCTTGTGGGTCCACCAGAGAGCAAAACTCAATTAGTCATTGTTGTTGTTGTTAAGGGTCATCAAGTCGGTTCCGACTCACAGCAACCCTGTGTAGGGCTACCTAGGAGCAGCTAGTGGGTTTGAACCACCGAACCTGTGGTTAGTGGTACAGTGCTGATTCTACAGTGCCACACCAAGAGTCCCAATTAGCTATGTTGTTGTTGTTGTTAAGTGTCGTTGAGTCGATTCCGACCCATAGTGACCTAGATAGGGTTTCCGAGGAGCTGCTAGTGAGCTTGAACCGTCGACCTTGCAGTTCAAATGTCTTTGCAGTCTGGCGCATGAACCCACAGCGCCACACCAAGACTCCCAATTAGCTATGTTGTTGTTGTGAAGTGCTGTCGAGTCGGTTCCAACCAATAGTGACCCTGTATAGGGCTTCCGAAGAGCATCTGGTGAGCTTGAACCGTCAACCTTGTAGTTCAAACAGCTTTGCAGTCTAGCGCATTAACCCACAGTGCCACACCAGGACTCTATAGTGACATGCAAACCCAGACCATGATGATGTACCCCTTCACTTCCATTAGGATGACCAGAATTTAAAACCAGGTGTGGCGCTATGGGCTAATGCGTCAGACAACAAAGTCATTTGAACTGCAAGGTCGGTGGTTCAAGCTCACCAGCTGCTCCTTGGAAACCCTATACAGGGTCGCCGTGGGTCGGAATTGACTCAACGGCACTTAACAACAACAACAACAGTAATAGAGCACCAACTCAACAAGACTTAACAACAACAACAGTAAGTATGGTGCTTGGCTGTAGGATCCACACTGGATTGCTAACCACGAGACAGGTGGTTCAAACCCACCTGCTGCTCCTTGAGAGACAGATGAGGCTTTCTGCTCCTGTAAAGACTTACAGCCTGGGAAACACCATGGGGCACTTCCACTCAATCCTACAGGGTTGCTATGAGTCGGGACTGACTTGGTGGCCTGTTTGGTTTGGTTTTTGGTTTTCATTCACATGAAACTCTCAATTAAGGAGCTTTCTGAAGACAGTAGATTCATGGAGTTGGGGAGATCAGGCGCTAACTGAAAGACTAAGCTGCGTGAATTCTATCAGGAGGAGCTCTGGTAGCGTAGTGGTTACGAATCGGGCTGCGAACCTGAAGCAGTTCAAAACTACCAGCTGTTCCGCGGGAGAAAGATGAGGCTTTCTGTTCCTGTAAAGATTTACAGCCTTGGAAACCCTGTACAGGGTTGCTATGGGTCGGAACCGAATCGACGGTACTTGACAACCACAACACAACTGGTGAGCCAGGAGTGGCTGCAGCCAACAGTAACTGTGAAGACAGCACACAGCCGCTCAGCATTTCCTTCTGTGTACATCGGGCCGTTATGAGTTGGAACCAACTCAACGGTACCTCACAACAACAACAAAGTTGTTAACAAATCTCAGAGGGATTCCGCTCGTTTTGAGCTTCACACTTCCTCACTGTTTGTAAGTGCACTGTCCCGTGGTGACCACCCCACTTAATAGTCCATATTTAACCACGTTTGACAAGAACCGAGTCCCAGGCTACAGGTGATGGCCCTGTCAGTAGGCTGGCTGGCTACAGACTCACCGACCCTCCACCCAGGGTGCTTACACCTGGGGTTGGGGGGAGCCCTCCCGGCCTCCAGTTCCACCTCCTGGTATCCCTGTAGTGCCGACACCCCACCACTCCCTGGGATTCTTGGGGTGCGGGGCGGATTCTTACTAATCACAACAGTCAGGGTTCGGGGCCTGGCTCCTGAGAGCAGGGGTGACATGAGCAAACATTCTGTGCCATCCCACCTCCCCTCCCCACACTGCTGAGTCCCGCCCAGTTCCCACACCCCAAGCCCTAGCCCATGGGACCTCAACCAAGCCCCTAGCCGGTGGCCATGTCACAGGGTCTTTGAGGGGCTTCCCATCAAGGTGGGGATGAGAGAACATACTGCCAGGCTTCGCGAGGAGATCTCTGCCCTGTAGCTCCGGACATCCTCCAAGTCCAACGTGGCCGTGAGGACTTCCTGTGGTGGGGGGGCGGGGTTCAGAGAAAAACCGTAATGTCCTGTGTATCCAACCCTCTAGTGTGATTTCACTACTTTCTGCACGAGAGTGAGCCCCCCTCTAGAGCAGCGGCTGGGAGCGCAAGGCCAGGACTGGCCAGGGGTGGTGCCCACTCCCAGCCCCCTCCCCCTTCCTGTGGCCACCAGGACCTGTGTTACATTCAGACACTTATACCAGGGGCTTCTGGGAAAGCATCTCCACTCTTTTAAAGAGACACATCTGTGTCTCTGTGTTCACACAGAGATGGGATGGCTGGTGCTGCTGCAGCCATTTTGTGACCATGAGGACAGGCAACCGGAAGAATGCTGGGCAGGAGCAGGCAGAGGGGTGAGGCCAGGGTCCCAGGAACTAACATTTCCCCACACATGAATCCAGCTGAGATGGTACACTCTGCCACTTGCAACTTACAGGTAAAAAGAGAGAGGTTTTAACTTCTGGATAGAATTTATGCCCTTAAGAAAAAATTGCTCAAACAATTCACATTGCAGGCAGTCTGCAGATTACCAATGGCTTCCATTCCTAAATCTGTCTTTAAGTTGAATTCTTACGCAAACTGGACACTTAGGTATGGTATGGACTTAGTGTCAGTTAGATGTCTGAGTTTACAGTATACCTCTCCACAGGAGCTCCTCGGAGGCAATGGTTAGAATGTGCAGCCTCTTGTAGGTTCAAATCTACCATCTGCTTAGCAGCATAGAGCTGGGCAGTCTGCTCCCCTAAAGATGAGAGGCTTGGAAGCCCTACAGGGCCATTCTACCCTGTCCGATGGGTTGCTCTGAGTCGGAACCAACTCAATGCCAGTGTGTTTTTACAGGTGCCTTTCTGTGTACAAGGTGCTACGGTACTGTGGGTCAGGTGTTAGGCTGCTAACTGCAAAGTCGGCAGTTCAAACCCACCAGCCACTCCTTGGGAAAAGGATTTAGCCTTGCAAACTCTAAGGAGCCATTCTACTGTGTCCTGTAGAGGCAATGAGTCAGAATTGACCGGATGGTAGTGGGTTTGGGGTTTACTAATCACGAATTCTAGAATTTACTAAATCTACGTCTACAAACCACTAAAGAAACACATGTACTAAAACACCATTCACATAATACTATAGCAATAATGACATGATGGAGGTAGAGAGAAGTAGCACATTTGTGGGATGAATGTACGCACCTCGGATTTTTAAGATAATAACAAATAGGCTTTACCCAGCTGGTTGCTAACTAGGGCTTCTACGTCCGTCTTGCTTGCCTTGATGGCTTCCTCCACCAACTTGGAAGCCCCCTCATACTGTCTGATAGAGTCGCCTAGGTTGGAAGATACTGAAAATATTGTGCCCACCACAGTGGGCTCCCAAACATGCCAAGAGTCATGGAGACGGTACGGGACTGGATGACACTCTGCTATAGACGGGGTGGCCAGGAGTTGGAGCTGGCTCCACAATACCTAGTATCAACCGAACATCGGGGTAAAATCAAGTAACTCTGAAATTTGGAAAGCCACCTCGGGGAAATGCAGGGCAATGGTTCTTGAATTTTCCTGGGATTGAGAATCACCTGGGGAACTTCCTACAGGTATGATCCAGCAAGCTGGCACAGCCCAGGAGTCTGCAGGGAGCAGCCTTCCGCTGTGAGGTGTCCCCAAGCCGCCTGTCAGTCAATGGCCGTGTAATGAATGCTACCTGAAGCTATGAGTCGGACACAAACCAAACACGTGTGCACCACCAAAGAGAGTCCTCAGCCATGTTCACTGTTGTATGTTCACCCAAGCAACACACACATTCTGTTTGTTTGCCAACCGCTCGCTTCTCCGGATGTATTTTTGAAAATGTGTTGGCACAGAGCCATGGTGGGAGGGAGCAGGTGGTAACATGCTGTAGACAGAGAGTGCTGTGTGCACACACGTATATACAGTGGTAACTGTCAAGTCGGGGCCAACTCAAGGCACCCCCACGGGTGTCTGACTAGAACTGTGCTCTAAAGGGTTGTTTGCTTTCTGTTTTAAACACTTGATTATGAATTGAGTGAAGGTTTACAGAGCAGATTATCAGTTTTACACTCACTGACTCTTAGACTGCGCTTCATTATAATGACTACAGGCCCCTCTGTGAACCAACAGTATTTCCCTCTACTTTTGCGTTCCTCCCTGAGTCTCCCGCTACATTCAGCTTTCCTCAGCCAACTCCCCTCTTGTGTATTGCCTGCCCTGTCACCCATGCTAACTTGTACCACCCTCTGTTGTTGTTGTTAAGTGCCGTCGAGTCAGTTCCAACTAATAGCAACCCTGGATACTATTTCTGAGGAGTGACTGGTGGGTTTGAACTTCTGACCTTTTGAAGGTCAGTGCTTATCCTACAGCGCCACACCAGGAATCTATACTGCCCTCCAGCTCATGAAAAATTCCTAACAGCCACACACACCACCCGCTACCAGAAACCATCATTGTATGTTTCTTTTATCAAGAAAACCTTTTCTTAACTTTTTACAGTAGTGATCGCATACAATATTTGTCCTTTGGTAATTAACTAATTTCACTCAGACAATGAATATTCTGGAACTCTTAATTGTGCTCATGAGGAATCTCTACATGGACCAAGAAGCAGTTGTTCAAACACAACAAGCAAACACCGAATGGCTTAAAATTTAGAAAGGCGTGCACCAGGGTTGTATTCTTTCACTATACTTATTCAATCTGTATGCTGAACAAATAATTTGAGAAGCTGGATTATATGAAGAACATGGAATCAGGACTGAAGGAAGAGTCATTAACCTGCATTATGCAGATGATACAACCTTGCTTGCTGAAAGTAAAGAGGACTTAAAATACTTACTGATGAAGACCAAAGACCACAGCTTTCAGTATGGGTTGCAACTCAGTGTAAAGAAAACGAAAATCCTCACCACTGGACCAATAAATATCAAGATAAATGGAGAAAAGAATGAAGTTGTCAAAGACTTCATTTTTCTTGGATCAACCATCAACACTCATGGAAGCAGCAGCCAAGAAATCAAACGACGTATTGCATTAGACAAATCTGTTGCACAAGACCTCTGGAAAGTGATCAAGAGTAACCATGTCAGTCTGAGGACTAAGGTGCACCTAATCCAAGCAATGGTATTTTCAATAACCTCATATGCATTCAAAAGCTGACAGTGAATAAGGAAGACCGCAGAAGAACTGATTGCATTTGAGTTCTGGTGTTGGAGGAGAATATTAAAAGTGCCATGGGCTACCAAAAGAACCAACAGATCTGTGTTGGAAGAAGTGCAGCCAGAGTGCTCCCTGGAAGCCAGGATGGCCAGACTTTGTCTCTCATACTTCAGACGTGTTGTTAGGAGGGACCAGTCGCTGGAGAAGAATATTATGTTTGGTAAGGTGGAGGGTCAGAGAAAAAGAGGAAGACGCCCAGCGAGATGGATTGGCACAGTGGCGGAAGCAATGGGCTCAAGTGTGGCAGTGATTGTGAGGTTGGCCCAGGACCGGGCAGGGTTTCTTTCTGCTGTGCATGGGGTCACTAGAGTCAGCACCAAGTCACTAGCACCTCACAACAACAACAAATTTCACTCAGCTTAATGTCTTCCAGGTTCATTCATGTTGTGAGGTGTTTTGCAGATTCATTATCTTCCAGCATTCCATAGTATTCCATTGTGTGTGGGTACCGAAGTTTGTTTACCTATTCTGCTGGTGGGCATCTAGGCTGGCTCCATCTTGTGAAGCTATTGCTTGTGAATAGTGCTGCCATGAACATAGGTATGCAGATGTTTATTTTGTGTCCCGGCTCTTATTTCTTGAGGATCTATACCCAGTAGAGGGATTGCTGGGTCGGACGGCATTTCTATTTCCAGCTCTTTGAGAGTGCCATTCTGCCTTTCACAGAGATTGCACCATTTTGTAGTCCCACCAGCAGTGTAAGAGGGCTCCGGCCACACCCTCACCCACATTTCTTCTCTTCTGTTTGTTCCCCTTTAACTGTGCTATTAACGCTGGTGTTAAATGATAGCTCCCTGTTGTTTCAATTTGCATCTTTCTAACAGATAATGAAGGATCTCTGGTAGCGTAGTGGTTACGAATCGGGCTGCTAACCTCAAGGTTGGCAGTTTGAAACTACCAGCAGTTCCGCAGGAGAAAGATGAGACTTTCCGCTCCCATAAAGATTTGCAGCTTCAGAAACCCCGTACAGGGTTGTTATGAGTGGGAACCGACTCCACGGTACTTAACCACAACAACAGCTAAGGATTATGGGCACTTTTCATCTTGGTTTGGCCACCCAGATACCTTCTTTGGTGAAGTGTCTGTTCATGCCCTCTGACCATTTTTTAATTGGATTTATCTTGTTGAGGCACGGAAGTGGTCTATAAATTCTGGGGAGCAATCCTTCGTCGGATACTTCATTGCCAAACATTTTCTCCCTGTTTGTGGGTTCTCTTTTCCCTTTTTGGTGAAATCCTCTGATGTATGTAAGTGTCTAATTTTTAGGAGGTGCCCCTCATCTATGTCGTCTTCTGCTATCTGTGTGTTTTCAGTTAACTTTGATAGTGTATTTATGCCATAAATCTGAATCTCTAAGTTTGTCCCTATTTGTTTTTCATTGATGACCCTAACAGTCCTTGGGTTTACATTTAGGTTTTTAATCCACAGTGAATTTGTTTTCATACATGGTGTGAGCTCTGGCTTTTGGTTCATTTTCTGCAAATGGATTTCCAGTTTTTCTAGCACCATCTGTTAAAGAGACCTTCTATTTCCCATTTAATACATTTTCGTCCTTTGTGGACAATGGAGTTACTTCTGGGTTCTGAGTTCTGTTCCACTTCAGAGGGTTTTCAATGGGTGGGTTTCTTTGAGCAATAGATTTCCAGTCCTTTCTTCCTCAGTGCCTCTGGGTGGACCTCTGGCTTCCTATCTGATTAGTCGATGAGCACATTAACTGCCTGCTCCACCCACCAGTGCTACAGATAACACTGACCATGGTACTGTCCATGTGGATACAAGCGAGGTAAGCACCGTGGACTGCGCTCACAGACTCTGGGAGGATGTACTACCCCTGAAGTGAGCGTGTGCTGCTCTGGCAAAGTATTCCCACGCCCATGACTCTTGTTACCGTGTACCTCTGCCAATCAGTGCTGTCGGTATGTGTTCCTAACCAAACGAGGAAATCAATGAGCTCGATAGTGAGAAAAGGCAAAGCCATGGGAGATGCCACCGTGAACCCTCACGGCATATGGAGCCAGACAACTGTTGGTTCATGCCGGCTTCCTGGCAGAACAAAATGATACTGGGGGCTGTAGTTACACACTTGGAATTTACTTCCATTTTTGGCGATGATTTTTTTTTTTTTTTTTGCTTGTGAAAGTCTGAAAGACATTGGTGGTGGTGTGGTGTTAAGCGCTTGGTGTCTAACTAAAAGGTCAGAGGTTCAAAGCCACCAGTAGCTGCACAGCAGAAAATACCCAACTATGTGCCCCCAGCAAGATTTGGAGCAGTTCTACACTGTCACACGGGGTCACTGTGAGTGGCTTCGAATCCATGATTCCCAACCATATGTCTACTCCCTGCAAGGAAAATGAATGTTCAGTGTGAGGGCACCCATCCTGTGAGGGAAATCTGTATCTGTGTTCACACGGGCAGTCTGGCTGCTCACCAAAAGGCTGGAGGATCAACTCCACCCAGTGGTACCTCAGGAGAAAGACCTGGAGGTCTCTTTCTAAAAAGTTAGCCACCGAGAACCCCTACAGAGTTCATTCTACTCTGACACACACAGTTGGCTTTGAGTCAGCGTCAGTTCGATGGCAAATTTGTTAAACAAATACAGAGTCACATCAACTGCATCTATAGGAGACCTGGGAGTGTGGCAGGCAAGCACTCAGCTGTTAAGGAAAATCTGGAGGTTTGAATCCACACAGAGATACGTTGGAAGAAAGGTCTGGCAATCAACCTCCAAAGAAACATCCACTGAAAACCCTATGGAGTACACTTTTACAGGCATACGTGGGGTCGCCAGGATTCAGGGACACTGGACAGACTAACCACTGGATACTGTAGTAACCTCTAGGTAGGACTGTCGTTGTGAAGTGCCGTCGAGTCAGTTCTGACCCATAAAGACCCTGTGTAGGGTTTCTGAGGAGCGGCTAGTGAGTTTGAACCAACAACCTTGGGGTTTAAACTGACCTTGCAGTCCAGTGTAGTAACCTGCAGCGCCACACCAGGACTCCACTAGATAACATGGTAACCACTGGATAACAAGGTAACCACTAGATAACATGGTAACCACTGGATAACAAGGTAACCACTG